CTACATCAGTTGGTATCATACATCACTATAGGTCACATGGTACCACCTGCGGCAAACAAGCCTTGCAGCCTTGCATATATCGTGGACCGGGACACGGTCAAAAATATTTGACAACAAGTCATCTGATAGAGCCCCATTGATCATGTCTTTTTCACCATTCATCTGATCTTCTGGTCGGAGGATTCCCTGCTTCTGCTTCTTCTCAGGTGGCGGCCGCTGGTGGGAACAGCGTCGGCGGCGGCTGGGCCCGGGTTCATGCGGCGGGAACATGTTCCGTCTTAATTTGGTCGTGCTGCCAATTTTTCTCTTCCAATATTATTTGATTGAAATCAAATAATTCCCTTCTACAGATATTATGAGATTCACATCATCAGCCCCTAATAAATAAGCCCTTTTCACGCCACCTAGTCCTCGTAAGACTAAGAAAATTATTTTATTTTTCCTTCTTATTAATTCCTTTCTTGATCTCCAAGGAAAATATATTTTCTCTTTCCTCTTCAGTAAATCGATCAAGATTTTTCAATAAGATAGAAGAATTTCCATCAGATAGAAGAGTTCTGCGCGCCTCTTAATCGATCGTGAATCGTCCCAATCTCTGATGATGAAATCGATCATATATCGCCAAAAAAGAGAGAGAGAGAGAGAGAGAGAGAAGCAGAAATTCCGTACCTTCAACTGTGTTAAAATAATTAATGCTTAGAGCACCCACAATGCTTTGAGTCTCTTATTGAATATGTGACAAATAAATAGACTTAAGTCCATAATTAATGACATGGACAAACCCAAGCTAAAAAATCCAAAATCTATCCAATGCAAAACAAAAAAGTACTAGGTGTAGAACGGTTTTGCTATGAAGCCGGGCTCCATAGTGGAGCCAACTGCTATATACAACAAATAAATCTACCATATTAATAAAATTATATTAATGTTATTTAAGTAATCAGAGAATATGGTAGGTTTACTTGTCGTATATAGAAGGTTGACTCCACTATGGAGGCAACTGTTGGCTTCATAGCAAAACCGAGGTCTAAAATACTAAACAACCAATAAAAATATAGTAATAATAAATGCATAAAAAAAATGTGTTTTGCCTATTAAAAAGTAAAAGAAAATTGTGAACAATTAATGACTAGGTGAGTTTGCACTTGGGTCCAAAATAGACCCAAGTGTGGACTTAGTCTCTTTTTTCTAGTGTCACATAAGTTAGACTAGATCCACTTTTAATTGTATTGTGAAATATTTTTTTATAGACTAGATCTATTTCCTACATGGGATTTGATTTTTTTCTAAGAGACGCAAAGCATTGTGGGTGCTCTTACAAAAATATCATATGTCAAGTAAAAAATAGACTTAGTCTATTAAAAAATACTTTCCAATGCAACTAAAAGTAGACTAGGTCTAACCTATGTGGTAATCAAAAAATGAGACAAAGTCTACATTTGGGTCTATTTTGGACTCAAGTACAAACCTGAACAATCATCATTTATTTCTAATTTAATTTTTCTCTTAATATAGAAAATATTTTAGAGCATTTTTATTAGTTAACAAATATTCTAGACCTAGTATTTTGTTTTGCACTGGATGACAATTGAATTTTTATACTTGGGTTTGTCCATGTCATTGAGAACATATGTCCATTTATATGACACATGTAAAATTGAACCCAAAGCATTGTGGATGCTCTTAGTTGGTTTTTGTTAAAATATTTAATGATTAGTTGGTTGTTGTTAAAATAATTAATGATTAGTTTATTGTTAATTAGTTGAAAATTGATTGTCATTAGTTGGCAATTGTAATAATTGTACTCTAGAGATTTCCATATATGTTATATAAATGTGTGTTCTCGGATTGAAAGAGCAGGCAACAGAATTTGAATAAAATCAAGCTTCTTCCATTCATTTGTTCTTCTACAAATTATATTCATTTGTTCTTCATTTCTTCTTCTACAAATTATATTCATTTATTTTTCAAATTCAACATATAATAGCATATTTATCTTTTATCATATCTACAATTTTATATAAATATTTAAGATACCAACAGTGGTATCAGAGCCCGGTTGGATCAATAGCTGGGCGACATTATTTTCAAAATCCTCAAATTTTTACATATCTTGTCCAAATACCCCATTTTCACATATCCTTTTAAATCTTTATTATGGTCACTTCTCATAACACGCATCAAATAACAATTCCTATTTTTTTCGGCGAAAATTATAATTATTGGGCCATTAAAATGAGAACATATTATATGTCTCAGCCTATGTAATATTGTCGAGGACGGGTATACTATACCCGATGACATTACCACTTTGTCTACGGCGGACGAAGAAAAATTCGAGCGGGAGAAGAAAAAAGATAGTTTGGCCCTTTTCACACTACAAATGGCCATGTCGGAGTCCCTGTTTTCAAGAATTAGCGAAGCACATACATCAAAGGAGGCGTGGGATACTCTAAAGGAAGAATATCAGGGTAGTAACAAGGTACTTCATCTGAAATTTCAAACTCTGAGAAGAGATTTGAAAATTATGAAGATGAAAGAATCTGAGCCCGTAAAAGATTACTATACTTGATTAAGAGAAGTAGTAAATCAATTAAAGCATATGGAGAAAATATTACTGACAAAAGGGTGGTAGAAAAAATTCTAATTACTCTACCAGCCAAATATGATCCTATCGTCACGACAACGCAAAAAACTAAAGATTTGGATCATTTATCAGTGACAGAATTAATAGGTTCACTTGAAGCCTATGAAAAAAGACTGAGTATGCGTGAAAATGATACAGTCGAAAATGCATTTCAGTCAAAACTATTACGGTCTTAGAATTCTAAAATTGGGGGGAGAAGATTGAAAGAAAATAATAAAAATAAAAATCAAGGTGGAAATAATAATAATCATCAAAAAGGAAAATATCCACCTTGTGGAGTTTGTAAGAAAACCAACCATCTTGAGAAGGATTGTTGGTATCGAGATAAACCACAATGTAAAAATTGTGGTAAATTCGGTCATATAGAGAAAAATTGCCGCACTAAAAGATATCAAGCAAATTTCTCTGAAGAAAATGAAAAGGGAGAAGTTTTGCTATTCTATGCAACACATGCAAATTCAGAAGAGAAAAATGATATTTGGTTTCTAGATAGCGGCTGCAGCAACCATATGACTGGAGATGAAAAGAAATTTAAAAATATTGATAGATCTGTAAAATCATAAGTTCGGTTAGGTAATGGAGATCTAGAAGAAGTTGAAGGCAAAGGTTCAATTGAGGTCGAGACTCAAAAAGGTACTCGTCTCGTTAAAGATGTGCTGCTAGTACCAAAACTTGATACTAATTTACTCAACGTGGGACAAATGGTGGAAAGAGGATACATACTACTCTTCAAAGATAACTCTTGCACCATTTATGACAACAAAAACAATTCCATAGCTGTAGTAAAAATGCAACAACGGAGAAACTTACCACTTCATTGGAAATTCATAGAAGCAGCACAAAAAGCTGAAGAAGATCAATCCTGGCTATGGCATAGAAGGTTCGGGCACTTCAACTTCAACGAGCTAAAGTTACTCCATCAGAAAAATATGATGAAAAATCTACCGGCCATCCAAATGAACGACAATCTCTGCGAAAAATGCATGGAGGGCAGACAACATAGGAAACCATTTCCTTCAAGCCAAGTAGGAAGAGCAAAACAAATATTGGACCTGGTACATACAGACGTGTGTGAACCAATGAGGACGCCAACCTTCGAAAAGAACAGGCACTTCATCCTCTTCATTGATGACTATACAAGAATGACTTGGGTGTACTTCATGAAAGAAAGGTCCGAAGTCTTCTCTATTTTCAAGAAATTCAAAAGTCTCGTCGAAAATCAAAGTGGAATAAGAATTAAAGTACTTCGGAGTGATCGAGGAACATAATACACATCCAAGGAGTTTAACAAATTCCGCGAGGATGAAGGAGTTAACCATCAACTAAGTGTCGGCTACGCTCCAGAGCAAAACGGCGTGTCAGAAAGGAAAAACAGAACAGTACAAGAGATGGCCAGGACAATGCTCACAGAGAAGAACATGCCAAAAGAATTTTGGGCAGAAGCATACACTGCAGTCTATCTACTCAACAGGTGCCCTACTAAAGCTGTCCAAAATAAAACTTCAATAGAAGCTTGGAGTGGACGAAAGCCATCTTCCCAACATTTATGAGTTTTTGGGAGTATCTGCTACGTTCACATCCTAAAGGAAAAGAGACACAAACTGGAGGAGAAATCTGAAAAAGGCATATTCCTCGGCTATGCGTCTCAATCTAAAGGATACATAATTTACATCCTCAAGATTGGTAAACTAATTATCAGTCAAGATGTTGAGTTCGATGAAAATGCTACTTGGAACTGGGAGGAAGAAAAAGTCGAATACCAAAATATCATGGTACCTACACGGTAAAGGCAAAATACCATACAAGGAGAACATGAAGATGAAGCAGAAGGTACACAATCACCTCCAGCTCCACAACCTTCGAGTCCGAGGGCAACATCACCATCAAGAAATGAACAGTTATCCCCAGAATCACCACCGACAAAAGTACGAATACTCAGGAAGATCTACGAGACATGCAATTTTGCCACGATGGAACCTGAAAGCTTTGAAGCAGCAATAAAGGAAAAAGAATGGGTAAAAGCCATGGAGGAAGAAATCAGGATGATCGAGAAGAATAAAACTTGGGAGTTGGTCGATCCACCAAACAACAAGGAAGTCATTAGAGTTAAGTGGGTCTACAAGACGAAGCTTAACCCAGATGGATCAATCCAAAAACATAAAGCACGGCTGGTCGCTAAAGGGTACTCACAGTTGTCTGGGATTGACTACAACGAGACCTTCGCTCCAGTTGCTCGGCTTGACACCATAAGAGCTCTAATTGCACTAGCAGCTCAGAAGAAATGGAGAATCTACCAGCTTGATGTCAAGTCAACATTTCTCAATGGCTATCTAGAAGAAGAGATCTACGTCGAACAACCTCAAGGGTTCGTGGCAGAAGGACAAGAAAATAAAGTCCTAAAACTAAATAAGGCGTTTTACGGATTGAAACAAGCCCCACGAGCTTGGTACAACAGAATTGATGACTACTTCACCAGTCATGGATTCAAAAGAAGCGAAATTGAGCCAATACTCTACATTAAGACCAAAGGTAACGACAACAAACTCATTGTTTCTCTTTATGTAGATGATCTTATTTATACATGGAACAATGGGGAGATGATTAAGGAGTTTAAAGAAGATAA